CTTAACCTGTATCGACCGCGGCAAATGTTGATTAAAATGGCTTACCAAAGAACATTGGTGCTTCGGCAGGGATTCGTACCCCCTACCTTGCCGTTCACCTATCCACTAGACCACAAAACCTCTAATATTGGTCACTCGCCAGTCGTGTAACGTTCTTGGTCAAGACATTGTTCCACAATGTGAGGAGACGATGGGTAATAATTGTAAAGATTGCTAAAAAGCCAATCTGACTGCATTTGATATTGGTCCTACCTACATGCATGTGAATGGTGCGCAATAGAAACAATTAGGGATGTCATCCAAGGAATAGAGATGGTGCACCTTGCGTGCCGACTTGAAATCCAGTGAATCCGGTGTTTCACAAAGCCTCTTATCAATGTCAAATGACAAAAATCAGTGAAAAATCTGCTGATAACCAATCAGAAGCAAGGGTTTCAGTAGCTTAAAACAAAAACTATCATTTGTCACTGATGACAAGCTTTGTGAAACCTCCTCGAGGGGGTTTTACTAAGGACATTGTGAAGGGCATTGAATAATTAACGTAATTCAGAATTTAATCTATAATTTCTTCAATAACAAAGAACAGGACAATAATACATCTCACTACACTACAATAAATTAACTGACGAAAAAATGACTGTTTTTCTTCTTTTTTTTCTTCTTCAAATTGAATTGACATATAATGTTGTAAATTCCGAATGATTTCAATTCAACGTCACTGCTCGGTTTAGTACAAGACCGATATGAACGTTTTTATCATACCATCTTTAGTGCTGAAGGGTTTGGAAATAATCTTCAAAACATTTTTTACAATTGCAATAATATTTTATGAACCTAAGTAATTTATGACAGGTTTTTAAGTAGGTGTAGACATTTAAATTTGTTTTTAACCCCTATTTATATCGAGTATACAGAATTATAGTAAAAATGTTTTTGGAAAATGATGAGTCTTTAAAAAAAGAAACAATGCACCGGCTTTTTGATCCGAAACCTGCCAAGTTCTTTATTATGTACGAAGACAGACATTGCTATAGAAGACAGTGTACCAAAACCCATTGGCCTCATACAATATTAAATGAAACCCCCAATAATTCGTTGCAAAATATCTTCGTGGAATATGTTTTTTTTTATATAACATGTAACTGCCTGTGTAAGATGTAAAGTACTTACCATTTATGGTGATTCTTTTTGTTTTGGATGTGAATCACAGACTATACGGCTTACTAAGATGTGAGTATCTGTCTTTCACTAAGAAACAACAAGGTTTGACGCCAAATGGCAAGAAATGCGTGTTTTGCAGGCACAAATCCTTGTCAGTCGTTGTATGTAACAGCGTCTGTAATTTAAGACTACAACAGACTCTGTACTTAGCCGTTCCTGACAGAGGCAGGAACTGATAGATAGGCTCTGCTCAAGGCTTGAGTAATGATGGTAAATGTGACCTCACTTAAAGAGAGACGGAGTGATCGCGTTGGCAAGTTTGCGCGTTCCTTGCTACAATCGAAACAATATCGCTACTTCTAACCTTAAACTCGAATAATCACTGACATACTTATAAATCCCTCCGCGATAGGCCATTAGGACTTGCCTTTTATTTTTCAGAAAAAACTGTTGTTACAGTTTGCTATTTGTCATTTTCGTCCGAATCAGTTATACCAATCAATATTAAAGGTCAACAGTCATGACTCATGGTGTTATCATGGTAACAACTTAGAAATCAAGAAGAGTGGTAACAATGGAAAATAGTAATTGAGGTACCTTTAACAATTAGGGATATCAATAATTGATGAGAATTTTTCAATGAATACGAATTGAAAGAGCGATTACACGAGTGAATTCATGCACATCAAAAGGTAATTCTGGCGTGTGCTGAAAAAACAAGGTGAGTGAAGAAGAATGAGCGAAATTTCTCGTTTAAACATTGATCCAGTCACGGTCACAAAAACCCTTTAAACAATACTTATTTCTATTGCTTATTGTGATTATTATTGATTCTTCTGAAGCGGACTGATTGCATTGAATAACATTTATTTGTTTGTATGATCGTTGGTTAAGTGGTTTATTAGGGAAGCGGGTTTTTGTCAATTGGTTATTTATTCAATTGTGAAGGTTATGATATTCTGCCATAATGTGCGTTCGCTGAAAAATAAGTATTGTTTGATTGACAGATTTTCACCACAATATCTTTTATAAATATTAGGATGATTGGGGTAACTATAATAATGATTGAAAGGTGATTTTGTCTCTGGAAAATATTCTTTTTAAAGGAATTTTGTTTCATATAAAATGCAAGACAATGAAAGGAAAAGTGACTGTTGATTGATTGTTTTCCAATTCTCCTGTTATGCCTCTCTCTCTCTCTCTCTCTCTCCCTACTCTCATTCCCATTTCCTGTCTCGCTTTACACTCTTCAGATCTGTTTCTTATTCTCTTCGTCAATTGTGTGCGTGTGTGCGTGTGTGCGTGCATGCTTGATTATTATTATTAGGACAATTTAGTGATTTCATTCCATTATTCTCCTTCTTTGCCCACTGTTTTGTGAATAATTTTTTATGTTATGAAAACGAAATGAAGATCTGTATTTGTATGGAATTATTTACATTGATTTTTATGAAATTATTTATTTTGAATGAAATCTCTCTAAAGAAAAAAATTGGAAAAAAAAAAAATTAAAAAATGTGTGCGCTTCAGGTCTCTCAACTGTCTAAATATTTGTTTGCTTAGACAATTATCCACGATTTGGACGTGCCCGAAGCTTCATGAATTATTCATGTTCTGTTTGATACTCCAACATTTGTAATTTATGCGCTTTACGCCACAGTAAAAAGAGAAAAGAAAACAATTCGGATCATCTTCGAGCATGTACATTTGGAGAGGTCATCTCCGCTTAATGTATGTATCTGTGTTAAAGGTACTATGTCCCATTTTGCAGGCCCAAAAAATGAAAAGGTTAAATTCTAACGGCATTTGAAAGTAAATACTTCCTGGTTTTAGACTGGGATGTAATTTTAAAATGAAAGTCATCTATTAGTTGCAATGTAATATCATCATTATTATTATCAAAATTATCAGTGTTATTGTTTTCATTTCTTTCGGCTTTCACACACACTTCCTGAAATTGTGGGCCACAATGTGAAAGGAAGTACGAGCCCGTGTACAAACGAATGGATACGGTCCCATATGAATTGGGACCAAGCTTCCATCACTTTGTCACATACTTCAAAATCCCTCCTCTCTCTCTGTCTCTCTCTTTCCCTCCTCTCTCTCTCCCTCTATTTCTCTCCCCCCCCCTTATTTCTACCTTGGCTACGGTGTAGACCCGGCCCGGCCCCCACTCCGAGAACGGAGGGATATCATGCGTGTTCCCAAAATGTCCGGTAAAGGGGTTCTTTTTACGTGGGTGACGCGTACCCTAAATAACACTGAGTGGGGTAGGGGGGTGTAGAACTTTGGCTGAGGCTTTCCCACATTACACCATATTAATATCCCTGTAGCCCCTCCAGACGATTCCCAAGTACTAAATATTTGTAAGTTTCTTCAGTGTCCCCACCTCCAAATCTCACCTAAAGAAATATTCGAAATGATAGTCCAATTATATTGGTAGGAAATAGTATAGGCATTATTTGAATAGTTTGAAACAGGTCGCAAAATAAGGATTAATAGGTCAGTTCCACATTTAGAGATTTGGTGCAGTGCTATTAATACATTAATAACAATTACCTGTATAATAAACAAAAACACTTAACACCTACCCTGGACCTGCATTTAAACCATTAGATTTTGTAAATTATTGTCTTAAAAGTGAATAGCAAGTCCTTATTCAAGCAAACTTCATACAAACAAACCTTTATCACTTAGATCATTTTTATTATTGGGCATTTTTAAAATCAGCAAAATCAATGACAACACTTCCACAGCTGCTATGGTGCATACCCACAAAATTTCATAAATCTGTGTGTGCTAGGGTCTTTATAATTATTTACTCAATGTCTTGTTAACAGGACATAAATGGTGTATGTTTTGTTAACCATATTCGGCCCAAATAGATAGCTTGTGGCATATTTTTTACACTTGCGGTCTCGCGGACCTTTGATCAAGTGGTCAGACCCCTGTAATTATTACCAATGTATTGTGATTAAAGGTGTAATAGCTGGTTAGCATGTAACTTATGTGTCATATGAAGGTGTCAATGACCATGCGATAACAAGAGAATGAAATAAAGATAAAAAGGTTACCATGAAATGTACAACATAATAATGAATATTTCTAAAGCATTAACAAAAATTAAAACAATTTCGTAATGTCAAGTTCACGAATCCTCGAGCATCTCAACCATAAAATGAATGCATAACTTAAAGAAACCTTGATGAACACTTTGTCTAGGCACCGTGCATCACATGACACCATTTGCCCTGGTCTGTCAATTTTGCAAATAAAATTAAGGGTGAACAAAAATATATCACTTTTTTCGTAGCTGCGGGTGAATCTTTCCATTTCTCAAAACCGGTAAAATCGGTTGAAAAATCTGCTTTAGTATACAACTCACAGTTATTTAGATCAATGTCTGCACTTGTAATATAATACAGCAAAAGTTACATATATAAGCTGTAACTAACCAACAATATCGGTAACTGGGTAATAATACAAATGTTTTTAATCAAATAAATTCAGATCCATCAAAATTGTAAATTGACTAGACGAATGCTGTACTTATACAATGATCTGGAATACATAATTATCTTTTTTTAAGTATATACATGTATATGTATTGTACGGGATACACAAAAAGTGATTGAAACTTTCAAAAGTAGATCGTGGAAGGTGGCGTATCAAAAGAGGGCTTAGGTATAGAGCGAATGTTCTGGTGAATAGAAAACGACAGATAAATAAAGAGAAACGAAATACACATGTAAATGAGGGAAGGAGTGATCTAGAGTGAGAGAGAGATGGGGAGGTGTGTGTGTGTGTGTGTGTGTGTGTGTGAGTGTATGTGAGAAAGAGAAAGTGAAATAATAAGAGAAAGAAAGAGGTAGATGGCAAGAGAAAGTGAGTCTGTGTGTTTATGTGTGGGGGCGATGGAAGAGAGAAGAGAAGAAAGAGAGAGAGAGAGAGAGAGCGTTGTAACAATGTAAAGGGGAACACTGAAAATGACACCAATAAAATATAGAAAGAATAAAACAAGAAGACAATTGATAATCACTGTGATGTATATACAATCATGGCAAAATGTCTAACTTGACTGTTTAACACTGCTTACAAAAACAAAATAATCTAATCATAAACATGACGAAGATATATCGCAGAGTAAATACATACGATTCTAAAAGCTTTTCTACTCAAGGCTTAGTCTTCAATTTATTCGCCTTATTCTAAATATTCTACTATAAGGTTGAGTAGTAGTCATGCAATTGCATTGTGAAAAAAAAACATCTGGAGACGATGGAGAGAACGGGAATGATCGAAATTAAAACGGACTGACTCAGACTATCTTGAAATTACACGCAACGCACATGAATTAAAAAAAAATGGACTAGACTAGATTAAAAAAAATGTGGCATGACAGTTCGGTTCAAATATCATTTTGTTCAGGGGATATTTATACTACATAATAATCTTCCACACTGACATAAAAGAATGAGTAATCTCACAAATTATTTCTTCGTCTCTACCAGAACTCAACTTCTCTGTAACGCAATGTGAACGAAACTGAGTAAATACTGCACCTGATTACTTGTACACTGTAGATTATTCGTGATAACTAAACATACTACGAAACAAAGGAAAGTGACATCTGAACAAACAAAATGACTCTATCTTCCGTCGAAGTGTAGTCTACACACCAGACTCGCAGTTGGCCCCTTCTTTCTTGTCAACGTTTTCTACTACTTTTGCATCTTCTATCTCGCAGTTGGCCCCTTCTTTCTTGTCAACGTTTTCTACTACTTTTGCATCTTCTATCTCGGCTTTCCCGGGGTGGATGACGTCATCGCCTTTACCTGCCTCCAGCTCCAATTCAGCCTCCTAATAATAAAATAGTAAACATAAGTAGTTGGCAATGCATCACCATAAATGATTGGGAAATGTGGAGAGGATGGGGAGAGTGGGAGGGCGTGTGGGTATTGTATCTGTTTCACCATGATCGTGTCAATATTACTGTTGGATTTGCGTGTTTTCTTTTGCCTTCCAATATAAACTTATTAAAAAATCAAAACGGTCACTAGTCGGCAGCTTATCGAGCGACTGGTTTGATAACAGTACGACTTCCCGCCAATCGGCCTTTGTTGTGTGTGTGTGTGTGTGTGTGTGTGTGAACATATGCAATTCATTTCATATTGAGTCCATGTGAATTTCTTTGACATTCAGTCGTAGTCAGGTATTAACGGGTATCAGTGGGCATAATAAGCTTAACGTGTCAGTAAGAATGATTTGGAGCAAGCTCACCTTGGTTCTGATTGTAAATATTATATTCAGGAAAAAAGATATGAATCTTTTATAAGCAGGTCCATCATCTTGGTGAGAAACCATAATGTTTCGATTAAAACTGAGCGACTTTCAGTCAGCATAGGGGATCTGTATTGTCTTTGTAATGCGTCAATACAAGATACAAGATACAAGACACTTTATTTGGTCTTTGCAAACAAGTTACATAGAAATTTGGTTTCCACTGGCGTTACAGTAATATTCAAGAAAATACATAATTACAACATATACATCGCGTTTATAGAAATAGATGAAATAAGGAACAAATACATGCACAAGGTAATGAAGCGACAAAAATGGTCATTGGTACTTCAAATCATGAGTTTCAAAATTAAGCCTTGGTCATTGGTATTTCAAATCATAATAGTTTTAGTATTAATTAATTGCCGACGCAGAAGTTTAACGTTTAACCTGCGAGTTGAATTTATGAACAAAGTCGGGTATAAATGAGTGTTGTTACGGTGATAATCTATATTGTAATGAGAGTATATATGAAATGCAAATTTGCTAACCTCCTTGTCAAGTGCTTCTAACTCCTTCTGAGAAAGATGGTACACTATACCAGCTCCGTAAGAATCACCAACTACATTGATGGACGTACGACAACGATCCCTGCAGGCCAAGAAGAGATACAATACAGTATATGTATACTACATAGTTATACAAAATTACACTCTTACAGCCTGTCTTCACTACTTGTAGCTACTTGCGCCCTCTATATAGCCAACAATGCCTAACTGGTGACTGTAGATCCCCCATTGTCCCCTTTATCTTATGTTAATTGAGAGCTGATTTGATGAGATAACCACCAACCAGTGAACAGCAGGGAGATCTAATCCCTCCTGACCAAACTAGTGCAGACAGGCTTTAAAAGAGTTTGGTAAAATTGTACACAATAGAAAAAAACAAACTTTAAACAAGGCTAAGTAAAACACACCCACATTTGGGTAATATCTTATTACACAAACATGTGCGTTTCCATTTTGTACAAATCCTGTAATCTTGTTCCAAAATATTTGTAGAGTGTACATAATATAATTTATTCAACAAAACAACGCAATCAAAAGCAAAGTAAAATGACAATTAGCAAGAATAATTTAAAGATTGAGATTACCGCAAATTGAGTTGATTTGATACGCATATTATTATTATTGTTAATATTGCTATCATTATTATTTTCCTCATTATCATGATTATCATCATTGTTATAATTATTATTACTATCATTATTACTATCATCATTTATTCGGCAAAGACAAAATCAAGTAAACAATGAATAATTTAATAGCAAGGGTTGAAGAGAGCCAAATGGATGACAGGAAGGAAAAAGATTAACTGAATTAACATGATCTGAAGGTTGTCTTTCCCAATCAATATGACTTAAGTAAAAGCACAGAATTGCTTAAATATTCATTTACCTCACATGGGTAGAGTGTGGGAAATGTAGATAAATACTTTGCCCTATAAATAATAAAACGATAGATTGATTGAACTATTACTCACAGGAACCAGTCGACGGCCATTAGAAGGCTGACATCGTCTATAGGAAATCCGACTGCAGTCAAGACTAGAACAAGGGTGACGATACCTGCACTCGGTATACTAGCCGCGCCAATGCTGCCGAGGGTAGCCGTTAGACTGCAGGAAAAGATCAATTGAAATAAAGATAATAACAAATGGTTAGATAAAAAGGAGTAAAGAAATTGAATAAATGAATTAATAAATGGACAATTACATTCATGAATTAGTTAAAGTTGAAAGTGTTGTTTCGACATTGATCATAAAAGGATCTGGGGCCCGTAACATAAAGGCTTGCGATCAATCGTAAATCTAATGTGCCGACTCTAATTGGTTAAAATTCAGACATCTGAATAATATGTTCATGCAACCAGTGGCGTAATGAGCAAAAATGTTTTTTTTTTTTGTTTTTTTTTTTGGGGGGGGGGGGGGGCTGACAAAAAAATCCGCAGCACCCCACTCTAACATGCAGGCCCCGCTGAACGTTTCGCAAAGTGGGGTCTAAGGGCAAAGCCCTGGCGGGGGTCAAGGGGCGGAACCCCCGAAGCTCCAGGGGTATGGGCATCAGTAGAGGATCCAGGAATTTCTTACAGGGGGGGGGGACAACATGGCATGGGGTTAAATATATGTAAAACGATGACGCGACAGAACGAGGCTTTAGCGGCGAGGGAGCGAAGCGACCAAGCGGGGGTGGGTCTGGGAGGGGGTTCTGGCCCCCTCCCAGAGTAAGAAGCATTTGCAATTTAGAACCAAATTAGACGCATTTTCAGGCACTTCCTGGAGTAATATGACGTAAAATTGCTTTCTCCTACCCCTTCCAAGAGTAGGGATTTTTTGCAATTTGAGAACCACATTTGGCGCATTAATTTCCACCGGCACTTCCTGGGAAAAAAAACGAGGCCTTCTGATTGGTTAGAAGTTAGAGAAAAGTGATCTGTCACGTCTTGAGACGTTGTATATGCTTTGATGCCGCACAATGCACAAAGACGGTGGTCCGGTACTTCATCAGTAGTCTCGATTGTATAAACTGTGTCGTTATCAGGGGCGTCGCTAGATCTTTGTCAGTGGAAGAGTGGGGAGCGTGTAGAGGCCACCGATTACCGACAAAACGAGCAACCAATTACCGACAGATTATTAATGGCAATGTCCAAATGTCTACAAATTTAACCCGGGGCCAGGAACTAAGTTATTTTTCAGTCTCTCCCCCCCCCCTCCCGCGTGAAGCGCGGAAACTTTGACACTTCATTAAATTGTTAGAGAAATAAGACGATCCGTTGTACCGTTCTCGACTCTTAATTCTTGTTTGGGTCCAGTTCCCCCCCCCCCTCCTCCCAAGCGAAGCGCGGCAGTTTTGACGTTTAAATAAATTATTACTCTTAATCCTTGTCTGAAACCATTTTCGCCCAATCTCGAGCGAAGCGCGGAAACTTTGACGTTTCATTAAACTATTACTCTTAATCCTTGTCTGAATTCTTATACGACCATCCCGCTCGAAGCGCGGAAGCTTTCACGTTTTATTAAATTATCAGAGAAAGAAGATGATTCGTTGTATCGTGGTCTTATCTGATTTCAGTTCCCCCCCCCTTTGACACTTCATTAAATTATTAAAGAAGGAAGACGATTCGTTGTACCGTTCTCGACTCTTAATCCTAGTCTGAATTCAGTTGCCCCCCCCCCCCACCGAAGCGCAGAAACTTTGCCGTTTCATTAAATTATTAGAGAAAGAAGACGATTCGTTGTACCGTTCACTACTCTTAATCTCGTCTGAATTCAATTTCCCCACTGGGCCCTTAACGGTACATGTGCAGTGTTACATGATGTAAGTATGGAACGCCCGGCAGTGCTTGTCACAGTTGCTTCTGGAAAGGATTTTTTACTAGTATTACTGTTAGTGGCCTCGGCCCCTTAGTGACTATAAAAAAAAATATGCTTTTCCTGGCCATTTGGGAATGTGTCAGTTTGTAACAGAAATGGAGAAACGCGCATTTTGTTGAAAATCATGTGATATCACAAACATTTATACATCACTTTATATGGAATTGAAAATAAGTCATGGTTCAATTTTATTTAATTTTTTTTTATTTTTTTTAATATTTTTTTTTTTGGGGGGGGGGGGGGGGCTGGCGCCCCCCCCCCCCCAAGCCCCCTCCCCCACCAGTACGCGAGTGCATGCAACGACGATCTTCATTGGCTATTGTCATTGTGCAATTGATTGCAAACCTTGTGTGTCACTTACCGGACCCTTGTGTGCTTTTCTGAAGGAAAAAATTACATCTTTCAGGGAAATGGGAAATATAGAGCAAAGATAAGTTTGAAAAGTGTTATTCAGATAGTGAACTCACAGACACAGAGGTAAATACTGTTATCTTCCATATAAACGGTATTTACTTTAAATGAGTTGAAAATAAATCATCAGTATTTTAGTGTCATTATATTAGCGCTGGGTTAGTTTTGGCGTACCATGCGTAATGCGGTATTCCGTAGCTGTTCCACCTTGATAACAATGGTTACCATGGTTACCACGGTTTCAAACAATAATAAACATAGGGTCATCAAACAATGTATTTCATTGTTTGGTACCATGATTACCACGGTTACCATGGTGGATGGTAATTTGGAAGAAAGAAAAAACAAGGGGATAGCAAAAACTTCCGAAGAATTAACTCGGGCAATCATCTTCTATAAATATGTTCCGATTATGTATCTCAATCTTCGCACTTTTCATAAGGTGATAGACAAGGGCACAAGGCCTATTGGTCTAAAGTCTCTGCGATAGTGTTCTTATTCTCACCTGATTGTGACGATCTTAGTGAACCCCATGGGCAATCCACGCAGTTGCCCGATAAAAATGGTCGCTACGGCCTCGTAGAGGGCGGTCCCATCCATGTTGACTGTTGCACCAATGGGGAGGATGAATCGTGTCACTCTCTTGTCAATACCTAGGTTCTCCTCTAGACAACGGATAGTCACAGGGAGGGTCGCAGAGCTGAGAGAGAGAGGGGGATAGGGAGATAAGAGAGAGAGAGGGACAGAGAAAGAAGGAGAGGCAGAGAGAAAGAGAGAGAAGAAGACAGGGAAAGAATGAGAGGCAGAGAGAAAAAAATACAAAAGCCCGATGCAGAATACCGCTAATTATGCCAATCAATAACACCCATACCACAATATTAAAGCAGCGTACAATATTCCCATACATAACGTCTACACCACCCCCGCCCCCCAACTCCTATCGTACACCGTCTACATGTACAGATATATTCTGTTTCACGTAGGCCACGGTTGGCTAACGAGCTTTACCCATATTATATTATTTTCTTTTTGCTGCGCTGTGCCATACTTTAACAGGAATCTTCTTATTATGATTATATAATAATATAGCATCGTAATTAGAGATTACAAGGACTCGAGCATTTTCTTTATCTTGGAGCTCCAATGCTGTTTGAAAGAAGGTTTTTTAATTCGATCGCGTCATGTTCGTGAACCAGATCTGTTTGGAGCCATAAGGACTAGAGGTCCCGGGCTCAACTCTCGGACAGGACCATAATTAGGGTTGAATTACCATTCTTCCACATGTACACGTCGAACGCTCAAGATATATTCTTTAAAAAATAATGGTACCGAGACTGTTTTGTTTGCCGAACTCCTGCGCGCGCCAGCATTAAACATGTTGTTTTCTATGAAAATTCATGAATTCTGGCTCTAAAAAGATAATTAGATACTCGGTACGCGTTCTCTATTCAGAGAAGAAATGCAAATGTAAAGGATGAATGGTATTAACTTACCTCGAAGCAGTGGCGAATGCTGTGAGCCAGGCCTGGAGAATTCCTTCAAAGAAGGTGAGTGGATTTTTCCTGGTGCTGGCGTAGTAGATAGTCATCAGGATAGCAAGATGGATGAGAAGCCCCATCACTACGGTCAGCATGTACAGGCCTAGAATAGGCACGATTTCTGACAAGCTCTCCATGTCGAGAACCTTAGCGCAGATCAGACTCATGATACCCAACGGAGAGTACCTGGAGGAGAGATGGGGATGGAGAAGGTGAATTTTGTTCTTTTGATTGTTTGATTTTTTCGGGAGGGGGGGGGGGGGTGGGTGCAAAATGGTCTTTTCTCCCTTCTATCTGTTATTTATTTATAACTGCATTATCCTAATGCGAAGAACACATTCATAAGAGTTTTTCCAGAGTAAATACATCATCATCATGAAAAAAAAACAAAGTCAAACAATGGTTATCGGCGGGCTCCCTGAAACGAAGTGCTGTGATCATATAATCGACATGAAATGAAATGAAATGAAATCAGTGCGAAATCTTAAGGGCGGTGAAAATAAAAAATAGAAACTTATTATTCCAATACATTGAGTACAAGCGATACATTTAAAATTAGGGAGCATTTCATGTGGTCTCTCTGCCAACACTCTGATTCATCACCACTACCATCACCGTCATCATCATAACTACCATCACCGTCATCATCATCACTACCATCACCGTCATCATCATCACTACCATCACCGTCATCATCATCACTACCATCACCGTCATCATCATCACTTCCATCCCCGTCATCATCATCACTTCCATCACCATCATCATCATCACTTCCATCACCGTCATCATCATCACTACCACCACCACCGTCATCATCGTCACTACTACCAACATCATCATCATCACTACCATCACCGTCATCATCATTACTACCATCACCTTCATCATCATCACGTAACCATCACCGTCATCATCATCACGTAACCATCACCGTCGTCATCATTACTACCATCACCCTCATCATCATCACGTAACCATCACCGTCATCATCATCACTTCCATCCCCGTCATCATCGTCACTTCCATCACCGTCATCATCATCACTTCCATCACCGTCATCATCATCATCACTACCATCACCTTCATCATCATCACTACCATCACTGTCATCACTACCATTACCATCATCATCATCACTACCACCACCTTCATCATCATCACTACCATCACTGTCATCACTACCATCACCGTCATCATAATCACTACCACCACCTTCATCATCATCCCTACCATCACCGTCATCATCGGCATCATCATCACTACCACCACCGTCATCATCACTACCATCACCATCATCATCACTACCATCAACGTCATCATCATCACGTAACCATCACCGTCATCATCATTACTACCATCACCGTCATCATCATCACTACCATCACCGTCATCATCATCACTACCATCCCCTTCATCATCATCATTACGATCAACGTCATCATCATCACTACCATCACCGTCATCATCATCACTACCATCACCTTCATCATCATCACGTAACCATCACCGTCATCATCATCACTACCACCACCACCGTCATCATCGTCACTACTACCACCATCATCATCATCACTACGATCAACGTCATCATCATCACTACCATCACCTTCATCATCATCACGTAACCATGCATCACCGTCATCATCATCACTACCATCACCGTCATCATCATCACTACCATCCCCTTCATCATCATCACTACGATCAACGTCATCATCATCACTACCATCACCTTCATCATCATCACGTAACCATCACCGTCATCATCATCATCACTACCACCACCACCGTCATCATCGTCACTACTACCACCATCATCATCATTACTACCATCACCGTCATCATCATTACTACCATCACCTTCATCATCATCACTACCATCACTGTCATCATCATCACGTTACCATCACCGTCATCATCATCACTTCCATCCCCGTCATCATCATCACTACCACCACCACCGTCATCATCGTCACTACTACCACCATCATCATCATCACTACCATCAACTTCATCATCATCACTACCATCACTGTCATCACTACCATTACCATCATCATCATCACTACCATCACCGTCATCATCATCACTTCCATCACCGTCATCATCGTCACTACTACCACCATCATCATCATCACTACCATCAACTTCATCATCATCACTACCATCACTGTCATCACTACCATTACCATCATCATCATCACTACCATCACCGTCATCATAATCACTACCACCACCATCATCATCATCACTACCATCACCGTCATCATCGTCATCATCATCACTACCACCACCGTCATCATCACTACCATCACCGTCATCATCACTACCATCAACGTCATTATCATCACGTAACCATCACTGTCATCATCATTACTACCATCACCGTCATCATCATCACTACCACCACCGTCATCATCACTACCATCACCGTCATCATCACTACCATCAACGTCATCATCATCACGTAACCATCACCGTCATCATCATTACTACCATCACCGTCATCATCATCACTACCATCACCTTCATCATCATCACTACCATCCCATTCATCATCATCACTACTATCACCGTCATCATCATCGTTATCACCATCACTACCATCACTGTCATCACTACCATTACCATCATCATCATCACTACCATCACCGTCATCATAATCACTACCACCACCATCATCATCATCACTACCATCACCGTCATCATCGTCATCATCATCACTACCACCACCGTCATCATCACTACCATCACCGTCATCATCACTACCATCAACGTCATCATCATCACGTAACCATCACTGTCATCATCATTACTACCATCACCGTCATCATCATCACTACCACCACCGTCATCATCACTACCATCACCGTCTTTATCACTACCATCAACGTCATCATCATCACGTAACCATCACCGTCATCATCATTACTACCATCACCGTCATCATCATCACTACCATCACCTTCATCATCATCACTACCATCCCATTCATCATCATCACTACTATCACCGTCATCATCATCGTTATCACCATCACTACCATCACCGTCATCATCAATTGTATCTCATTACATACCACATGGTGATGTTGACAAGCTCCATGGTGAGCTCAGACAATATCCTGAAAAATTCCACCATGACACGACCGCGCTCTCCCATTCTACTCAGCAGTACACCGAAAGGGATAGTGAAAACGAGGATACCTAAAGAATAAAAGAAAGAACGATGAGTTATTATATTTGAGCTTCCCTGAACCCTAGCCTGAAGAATATCTAGATTGAGGGGGGGGGGGGGGATCTCCCCCACTGTAGCTATATGGACTTTACTCAATCAAAGGGAAGTAATATGACATGCACTTAATTATACGATACCTGAACAATGACAACATTTTTAAAATTTCCGAAAACTTTGTATTACCTTTAAATATAAACGCATATAATTCTTCTATAGATGTGTCGTCTCCCATAAACAAATTAAAAAAACAGAACATCATTGGACTGGCTTAGTCTTTAAGTGAATCTGACAATAATGGGGAAATTATTTTTCAAGAAAAGAATTATGATTTGATAAACGAGGAAGAATAATATGTAGAGACTAGGTTGACAGACTGTATTATTGGATACTATCCCAATATTGGCAGGGGATGGGTGGGCGATGTACTAAAATAATATTTCTTCTTCCGTGACAAAATTATGCTTGATATAATTTTGTCCACATAACCTTAAACGCCCATATGAATTTGAAACTGATCCAATATCTTCATAAACGTCCTGATCATTATTCATATCAGACGCCTTCATGACTTTGGACATAATCCAAAAAGGATCCATTAAATTAAAATAATCTCATCCTTCCTAATCGGACGTAGAGTATCCAACAGATAACATGCATATTTGTAATGAATCTGAACCTGATCTGGTCATCGAGGATAACATTTTCTCCTTAAAACGTCATTAAACATTATACTTGCATATACCATGGGTCTAAATTACATCTCTGCACACGCGTAACTAGATACCGATAAAACAAAGGGGGAAATATAGGGACACCAGCAGTTGGCGAGGAGGGGGAGGGGTGGAAGAGTACTTTCACACGAGATTTCAACCAACATAAGAATATAAAGTTATAGATTAAGATTAGGCCTACAACTTTGGGGGCTTTGTATAGAGTACATGCCACATTGTGATATAACCAGTTGAGAGCCAGTAGAAAGTAAATTCCGTGTTAAAGTTTATGAGTTTACGCCCTCCTGGCACCACAAAGTCGCTTTCCCCTACGCGCTTTTATCGGAAATTAGGAGGATGTAAGAACAAAAAAACATCTTTATTCGAACGGTTCAATGTCTTTTAACGCTCGAGTATGTAGTTCCATGTTGTCTGACCTTTTTTCATGTATTCTCAAATACCTCGTTGAAAGTAAAGCGAAACAAAAATGTACGTTTATTTTGATATAAAAGATCATAATGTAAAATAACTGTTACAATCATGTGAAATATATGTTTGCATTTTACGATTTGACAATTGATGAAAGGCATTCGCCATTCACTAAGTTACAATAAATGTATTTCCCTTTTTTGGTTTGTTTCACCTTATCAAAGTGGACTAGCACATCGTCTTTCTTTCGAACCCAGGACCTCCCATTTACGAGGCCACTGCTCCCCCACTGCCCCAACATACGTGTACGTTAACAGATAGGACAAATAGTAACATGACCCCCGAATATCCAAGAAGTTGTTACATCGGCATTGTGACTGTGGTTTTACCAGGATAGATGCCTAAATGCCCATGCACACGATGTGTTCATCCACTACCACCAATTACCCCCAATCGGTCAACAACAATAGGCCCATTTTAAATAATGACAGCTTAGCTGTCAACTAAATGTTTTGTATGCATTAATTTGTATAGATTCTGACGCCAATTTTCCGTCGATTTTCGGGAAAAAACCATTGCACTAGGCCATGACTCCCTACGTCAAAGGCATCCATCTGAAGCTAGACATATCGTTTGAACTTGTTTTGTGCACGTTTATATATAACTCTGCGTTAGCTTTCATGTACATTAGGAAAAAAGATGTTACTAATTTTGCCCGAAATCAACACTTATCATTGAGGTATTCATAGAGGTCTCTTTGTTAATTTATGAGAACACAGACGGCTTAGGGCTAACATTTACCATGTCTTGTCCAAATTTTGATTATTTGTATTTACTTTAAATTTGTTTTTATCAAGTAACAAGTAACTCCCCTGACTGTCCTTCAATGTGTGGAGGTGTTGTGTTAAAGTGGTTAGTTTTACTGTTATTTCTATTTTTGTTTAATTATTATTATGATTATTATTATTATGATTATTATTATTATTATTGTTCTTCTTATTACTATTATTACCTTTATTATAATCATCATCATCATAATTTGTATTATAGTTATAATTATTATTATCATTTTGAATACTATAATTGTTATTATTATCATCATTATTTGTATTAATATTATTATTGCTAATATTATCATTACTATTATCATTATAATTTTAAATGTTATTATTATTAATATTTTTGATATTATCATTATCATCATCATAATCATTATTGTTATTATTATTATAATCATCAAATTTATTATTCTTATCATTATTAGCATCATTATCATCATCAACTTTATTATTGTTATTATTATTGTTATTATCATCATCATTATCGTCTTTGTTATTATTATTATTATCATTATTGATGGCGCAGTTTTATTGTAGCCTCATGTGCACCTTGCCTTACCTAGTACATTAATGCCGTTCTTGTAGTCCTCCGTCCTATTTGTCTCCGTCACATTTTTAGAGATGCAAAAATCTGTTTCCGAGGCATTTTCCCAACGACAAAAAGCCGATTTGACTGTGTCATTTATAGGTACCAACTTAGTGACGTTCTTTACTTCAGAGGAGGACTTCGCCTAAAAGTGGAAGAAATAGACAGAAAGAAAAAGAATGGAATGTGATCCCTAGGGAAGTGGAGAGTGTGGCCTGTATAGTATGGAATAGTAAATGAGTCCAGGAACAGGGTTAACAATAACATCATCATTATTTATTTATTTTGTATTATCACGATCATTATTATTGTTAATATTATCATTATTAGTAGCAGTAGTAGCAGCAGCAGCAGCAGTAGTAGTAGTAGTAGTAGTAGTAGTAGTAGTAGTAGTAGTAGTAGTTGTAGTCATAATATTAGTAGCAGTTTTAATATAAGTAATACTATAGGTTTTCCCGGCCAATTTCGCAGTTATTCAGTCTATTTTACAAAAAGTTCGTTCAATTTGGAGCAAACACCATTATCGGCTGTAATTCAATGTATCTCATCGGAATAGGATTTTTTCATTAATATCATTCAAATTCATTCCGTCTAGCGCGTGCGCCAAGATTCATTCAAATGTATCAGCAATTGCCGAATAGGCAGTCGATTTGGCCTGAAATTAAAATGATATTGATTTATCCCGTTTTATTGTAGGTATCGGATGCACTTTTAACAGGGTATTAATGAAGATCTTTACCACTGTTAATATAAGATATTTCTCTAATTTCTTCGATTCTCATAGCTCCATTAGATCAGATGGCTAAAAATCCCCCAAATAAAAACTAATTTAGCGAAGACATATTGACTGGGCATAGTTCTCCTTGTGCGTACAATTCAAGGACCAATAGATGGGGTTGAAGTTAACAATAGATACGAGCAGTATAAGATACGCGTAATGCTCTTAGGGTATGTTTATGCTCAACTTTTCTGGCCAGAATCAGGCATCTGTTACGCGTTTAGTTCAAAACACGGTTGCGTCCTTCCTCACTTTTGTAGAATCACCGAAAAACGGCGATCACGATCGCCGATCGTTAACTCACAAAAAGGTGCGTTTTCTGGGGAAGCATAAACGCACAATCATTTGTAAACGCATTTAAATGGGGTCAACGCGCTGGCCTCTAGTGGGTCTACGTAGCATGCTCAGTGCAGGTTTGCGAATCCAGCTGCAAGGCCACCCACCGAGAATTGCCTAGAGGAGCCAGAGAAGTGAGCATAAACAGTACACCGTGGAACTGCGATTACGATGAGCGTTTACGATGAGCGTTTCACATCGCGACGGATAAATTCTTTCGACTCTTCGAAAATATTTGTTGACGTTATATTTTGTTCAAATGTCGTTTTTTTAAGGATTGACATAAGGGATGCGGCAAATAGCAAAATATCGAGTGCTTATTTTTTCAGGTCACGGTTAGAAACAAAGCTCCTCGGTGATCCAGAGATTGCAGTTCAGTTTCGAGATCACCTTGGGAAAAAGTGCCCTCGAAGCAGTTAATATTTAAAAAACATCTTACCTGTTGAAAACACGCTTGTACAAGGTTGGACGGGAACAGATTCCTGTCGTAATGAAAGAGGAAAATAAGAGAAAATTTATTCTTAGGATCTTGGATCTTGGATTCTTTTCCTCCCAAATTCTCCGAAGAAGAGTTTTTTTTGCAAGTTACTAACGGCACTCTCTCGGGAAAATATTGTATACAAATATACACCGTCTTGAGATGTTCTGGTTAAAACTATGCGCAAGAGGCGACTCTAATAGTACTATTTGCTGAGCGGCGCAGACCCGAAGGAAATGGTACTATTGGAGTCACCGAGGCCCAAAGTTTTTAATTGAAGCCTATATACCTCACTTAAGAAATCCAGCCATCTGATTGGTCGAAATTGGAGTCGTGATTTTAGCTATTCCCGTGAAGACACGAAAAATGCCGATACCGGTTAATAGTCCAAGAGTGAGATCCCTCAAAATTCCGGTTACCATAAAAATAGTAAAATTTTGCTGCGATACCCATAGGTTTACGCGTTAAAACGTTCCTTCTGCGAGCTCGGACACCGTACGGTGCTTTTTGTCTGCGATTCCCAAATGATAGACACTTTCAGTCATTTTTCAAGCAAAGATTACAAACAGTGTCTCAGATTTCCGTGATGTTCTAACCAATCTTTACTCAATAAAAGGATAAGGTAAGAATTCTTGATAGATTTTTGTTTCAATTCGGCCTATAAAAGACATATCGACTGCTATATTATTCGAAGTCTGGCTGCTTTATAATATGCTCGCGCGCCGTCCACCCAGGCGTGCCTTATGGTCATGGCTAGTCTAGTTCTGGACCCTATATTGGTTTTTGTTATTCGCCGACTATAAACGTTAAGCCGAGAGTTGGCGCGACCCTTAGTGATTGCGCGATCCCCACAAACACCGGCGGTCTGTGGGGATCACGCAATCACTAAGGATCGCGCCAACTCTTGGCTTAACGTTTATAGTCGGCGAATAACAAAAACCAATATAGGGTCCAGAACTAGACTAGGTCATGGCAGGAGGTGCGCGCGTTTCCTCGAGCATATAAAACAGCCAGGCCTCTCAAAGCAGTTGATATATCTATACCAGTACCTCGAAAAGAAGGCGTTGTTGTGTTATACCCTGCATCAAAAATGTATCTTTGAAAAAAAAGGGGGAAAAAAAGAAAAAGAAAAATTAAAAAAAATTACAATTCCCCCCCCCCCCGCAAAAAAAAAAAAAAAAAAATCAATAAAAAAATCAACTACCAAAAAGTACTCTCAAAAAGTATTTTACTCCAAAATAGTACTCTCAAAAAGTGTGTTACTCCCAAATAGTACTTTTTCAGAGCTACCTTTAAATAGTTGAAATATTTCTGGTCACGTGACGAGCTCTCAACCAATCAAAAACCAATAAACTTTTGACGCAGGATATAATACATATGGATAGATAATGAGAGCAATACCTCAGGATACCAATGAGCGAATCGAGGGGATTTGCTGAATCGCTTCTTTCATCAAGGTCGATGTCATGAATTTTCAGGTACTTCGGCCTACCAGGACGAATTGCGACGACGACGATGATTCCGATGATGACAGCGATGCACGATGTCGTGAAGTAGTAAACGAGTGCCCGTGCTCCCAATTTCCCACAGGATTTGGTGTCAAGACTCGTCAGACCTTTACATAAAATTCGTGAGAATAAAGATTTAATGTGGCTCCCCTTTTATGTGTAGGTTTAAGTATTGCTCACCCCAACGCGTTGGGAAAGGAAAAAAGATACTGTGCACTGGATTGTCATGACGATAGCATATCTTTTGCCTCAATCTTGCTAAAAAAAAATATATGAAAACACTATACATCAACATTCTAAACTGGACTGCGCACATGTCAAGTGACTTAAAAACTGCTCGTCTGTTTATAGACTGGACTTAAATGCATTTGAGGTCATATTTTGAAATCAATAATTCTGATGAGAAAGTAATGCTATATTCCCCCATCGATATTACGAAAGCTCTCAAATCGTTATCATCTTCAACAAAAACCAGCATTCTCTTCAAAGATTTGACATGTTTGAAAACGTAAGAGTAATATGTCCTTTCGCTTTTTCGGTTTGTTTCAGCTCGGATAAAAAAATGATTGGTACTGGAATAATTGGCTCTTTAACTCTTGCCGCGTCATACCAAAAGGCGTTAAAAGACGGGAGTTGCTGCTACCTTGTTTGGCGTTCAACAATAAGGGATAGAGCAACGTCGATCTGGCTGCTCAGTGGCTGCCGGGCTCACGATCAATTGGGCAAAAACAATTTCCATTTTCGGTTTAACTTGATAACATTTGGAGTGGACTTTAAAGACCGTCAATACTACTGGGCCAGAAGGGATTAGACCACACAGTGAGGTCACTGACAGGTGGCTATCTCATTAACTCAGCTCTCAACTAACATAAGAAAAAGAGGATCATGGGGGACCAACAGGCACCGATTGGGGAAGTTTTCTATATAGAGGGAGCAAGGAGGTACAAGTAGGACAGTGGGGCTTTAAAAGAATATTATTAGTATTATTACTTTCATCTTACCCGTGATCAAACTCGAGACTATCAACGGTAGGACGAGCAACTTCAAGAGCCGGACCAGGATATCACCAGGTAGACCAATCGCTTTAATCACATTTTCTGTGGGCTCAGCCTTCCTTAAGACACTCCCGAAGAAAACACCAATAATCACCGCAATCAGGGTGAGCGCCAAGAGCAGGTTGGCCCTCATCCACTTCAGTGCAACCATGCCCATGGACTTCCAATACTTCCAGTTCTTCCAATCCCTCGGGTTCACCGTGGAGTCCGACGTAGTCGCTGGGGTCTTTAATTGTGCCCCACTCTCCGCTTCGTCGATTGCTATTGCTTTCTCATCAGCCATGCTGCGAATTCGTCTCTGTCTTGAGAAAGAAGTTGATGGAATTACACGTAAGATGAGGCATGTAGTAAATGGATACGAACATGAGGAGCGATATATATATATATATATATATCTAATAATTAAGATTATATATATATATATATATATACATTTATATCCTGCATCAAAATTTATTGGCTTTTGATTGGTTGAGAGCTCGTCACATGACCAGAAATATTTCAACTATTTTAAGGTTGCTCTGAAACAGTACTATTTGGGAGTATAAGTACTATTTGGAAGTAGACATTTTTGTTTGATTTGTTTTTTTTTTTTTTTTTTTTCTTCTTCAAATCTTAATTTGATTATTTGTTTTTCTTTCTAATTCTTATTCCATTTTTTCTTCTTCTTGTACCCCATTCACAGTGGTTTTGAAATTTGTAGCGGCGTTGTAGCGGAGCGGCGACACCGCCATAACACCGCTACAAATGCATTCACAGTAGAAAAGTTATCCCGCTGCAGCAGCGGGATAAATATCATGTACCCATTCACGCTGCAGCGGGTGATTTTTATTACCTCCGTAACAAACACGTGTATGCATGGCTCATGACCCGCGAGTGACCCCGATATGACCGGAAATACTTCAGCGCGGGGTTTTAGGGTAAACATGTCAAGTTGCTTTTTGTATCCTCGATCATATTACTTTTTAAAAAACTAGCATGTTTATTGCTTCCAGTCAGAATATTTTAATTTTTTGAAGTGTGAAATATTTTTATTTGGATAATTATAATATCTACATAATAATAAAATCAATTTGAATCCACTGGTTACTTTATTTCTATTTCACTTTATGTTCCCCATTGCTGGAGAAAAGAGGTCAGTGATAGGTAAGTAAACAAATCACACGTGTTTGTCGCGGTGTTATAACGGAGAGCCTTCACACTGAGTAAACACCGCGACAGCAGCGGGACTGTCCCGCTGCTGTAGCTAGGCGAACCTAGCGATAGTTTGTCGCGGCGTTATCGCGAGGCGGTGTTATCCCGCGATAGTTTATAACGGGTCCGAGCCTTCACACTGAAAACAACACCGCGACAGCAGCGGGACAGTCCCGCTGCTGTCGCGGTGTTTGAGGCCACTGTGAATGGGGTATAATTTCAATAATTTTTTTAAATATTTTTGAAATAAAGTTTTGGTGCAGGATATAAAACAATTATGCTATGCCTTCTTGTTGAGGTAAAGTTAACTTAAAACTATGGGCGTTCGTCCCCCCCCCCCCACTCAATTTTTTTAGGGGGGGGGGTCGTCCCCCCCTGGAAATTTGAAAAAGTGCAAAACAAATTGTATAGCATATACTGAATAATGACTGCAACACACTTTTAGGCTCTGGAAGGCCCAAGAGTGCAGCGTTTAGACTAATAAAATTGCAAAAAATCTCGCTCGGTCGCTACGCTCCCTCGCATAACATCCTCGTAAAAAAAAAAAAATCGCATTTCGTCCCCCCGGTCATTAACAGAAATCGCCGCCCTTGATCCTCATTACCAGGTCCCTCAGAGAGGACCTAAAGCCGTCTGCCGTCTGGTTGCTTAATTACAAGCATTTATGCTTTTTTAGCAGTCAGGTAAATTAACCATCACATCCATTCGTTTCTATCATTATGACAAAATAATCGATTTGTAAAAACTCATTTATTATTATTGGATAGGCCAATCTATTTTACGTTTTATTGAAAAGGCTTTCCTGATTTATTTCAGCTTGTAAATCTGATTTAGATTATTTAATAACGAAATAAATAGACAAATTAATTGAAAACAAATATATAGTTTTGAAGACAGAACTATGTCAAGAGATCAATAATTAGTTTTAATCAATGACATTAATCTTGATTATCAATTCAACATCAAAGAGATAAAATGTGTCAAAAGGACTTGTTACACAATATAAATATGTGACCAAAACTAGGTTTTCAAATCCTTCAGACGTTAATATATAAATTAAGTCAACGAACGGATGGCAACATTAATTACAATTGTTATCATAATAACTCCCTTCATCTGTCATAAATCACTGTACATTTGGCAATAACTGCTTACTTTAAATTTAGTTCTCCAAAATCATACAAGTTCACAATTACTTAGAGGATATGTTAGAGCTCGCAATTTCTTAGCATAAGTATGATGTAGACAAAATAAGTCTCAATAATCAAAAGCAATGATAGAAATACTCACACTGTATAACGGGAAATGATTTAGGGTTCTTGGAGAGATGCACACGCTCAACCTGTTTCCCCAAAGATGTTTGGCGAATGAAGTGCTGAGTTAGACAAGTGATTATCAATTTCATAATGTAATTAGAGAAAGGTATGATATTCTTCGCAATTTGCGCATGCGTGGTCTAAACTCAAATAAGGAAAACAAGAAGTATTGATGCAAAACAGATAAAAGGGAAACCCAAGAAAAGAAAAAGAAGAAATGGGGAAGTGGTGTACATGTAGTCATAGGCTCCATGCCAATAGATTATTGATAAAACATCTAGTCAGATATGACTTTCCCTTTCTGACAATATTATATTTTTAATTTTACATTGTTCCGCATTTTATGACAATATTTTTAATTGTACATTGTTCCGCCTTTTATGACAATATTTTCAATCGATATTATTCCTTCAGGTGCTTTTACAGTAATTCATTACTGCATATAAATAGTGGTGATGTCGTGGTCTAGTGGTTCATTCACTTGACTCTCAATCCCAGGGTTATGGGTTCCAATCCAAGTCGACATTAACGTTCTTCGGCAAGACATTAATCCACAGCTGGAACACTGGATATATACTGGGACCGGTAATAGAATACTATTTCCACTACAAGATAAATTATTTGGTTTAAGATGTTCAAATAATCATGCATTGAATTGTATACTAATTGTGGTTCGACAGAGGTTGTATACTTGTAAAATAAATTAGCAAAATTGTCTGATTTTGATAATATCAGAGTTTCACTTATAAATTATTTCAGAAATCAAAAGTATATTGAATTCGAATTGAAGAAATAACACATTCACAATAAAATGGTTTTAATTCAGGACTTTGTTTATAAAAACGGATATTCGTCTATATTTTTGGCCTGCATAATTATTTTTAGATGAAGATTCCTGTTATGACACAAATTCAGTTTAGGGGAACTACGAGTGATTTAATATCATCTATTTCTTTGTCTACCCTTTAAGGAAGAGGCTCATCAGACTTTTGTTACATAGTAAATGGATAACACGGGAAGTGACGTGAGTAAATCAATGGATATGTCTGGAGTTAGCGTTTGACCTCAAATAACCAATGTTTTTTCTTTTTTCTTTTTTTTTTTACAAAGAAAAGTCGCCTCGCACTCATTACTGTGCATTTGACAGTTAACTACCCTCAAGGCGCGGTGATATAGAGCACCGTGAATAAAAGTTTTGTGTTCCTTTTGAAGAAGAAAAAATCCGCCCGTTTATTACAGAATGCACTTATGTGTTAGTAGCTTCATGGTTGATGCATAAATGAATGATTACATAACTTTCATGAAGGCTTAGCGAGTTTTGGGGCGCCTTGTCATGGCTGTGGGCGCTCGGTCGCATGTTTCAGGGTGGTGCTATGCGGCCTTTCATCGGTGCAATAGGGACCTTTCGATTTGCACGAAGACAATGTGGATTGCTACGGTCGACGTCCTTTTAATGCACTGCCTTGAATGGACGTCACACGTATCAGTCCACGCAAATCTAAAAGTCCCTAATGATGGGGCTTGCCTGACGTAGCAGTAACTATTGTGTTAGTGGGTGGGTTATTTATTTATTTATTGTGGTATAAAAAACATTGTACCTGGCAGCTTTTCGGCTGAATTGAGTGCAATTTACGTAAGTATTAACACAAGGATACTGCACAAAATACAATAGTATTTCAAAGTCATTAAAAATAGTACATTCAGAACAAACAATTATAGGTACACCTTAGATCAAAGAATATTGATGGTGGGATAACGGAAGTGGGTAATGGATGTGGAAAAATAAGTGTTTTATATGACTTTAAAAGCAAATTCATAGGAGGAATATAACAGTTGAATAAATTAGGATCAGTGCTAAGAAAAATTATCTGTTGTGCATGCTTCAAAGTAGGCCTACAATGTCATGTGAGCAAGGTACATGTATATGGAGAACAAAATAGAAGTGTAATTCACCTAAGACGCTTGGAGAGTGAAATTATAGTTTCACTTCCTATTATTGGCTAATAGAGAATATGGTTGGTAATGCAATATTGAAATTAATATAATCCGTATAAACAAAACAGTAAACCTTCAGTAAACGATATAAGTTTTCATTCAAGCACATCTATAAGATAACAATTTGATTTACGTATGTGCTCAGCATTTATGAACAAACGATCTGTCTTTACATTATTCCAGTTTTGAATTGAGTAACCTCACAATGAAGGGGAGTGCGCTCTTTCTATAGCGCTCATTTTTGCATTTGATTTCGGAATAGTCATTAGCGTTGTGCAGGTTGCGGGAAGTGCGGGAAGCTCGCGTAGGGGGAGCCAGTGATAGAAGGGGGCGTTTCCTTTGTGAGGTTACTCGCAAATTTCTTTGTTAACCTTTCCCTCCTCTCCTCCAGTGTGGGAAGGTCAAGAACATTGAGGGCATCATCATAACTCGTGTATCTTTGGCCAAGCATGAGGCGACACGCTCGTTTCTGAATTCTCTCTATCAATTTCTTGTCTGCCCTAGTCAAACCTGAATGCCAAACAGGTGCGCAATATTCGACTTTCGGGCGCACGTACGAACAATACACAACTTTCAGATCCTCAACAGGTAGCCGAAAACCTTTCAAGATACGCATCATGTGTAGCCTCATGCTTGCCGCCTTGACCATTTCTGTGACATGATATGACCATATTAAGTCCTCCTGTACAAACACACCCAAAAGCTTAATTAGTAGTTGTACTTCACTCATTTCCAGGTCACCAATTTTTAATTTTGGGACGGTTGCCTGGTTTCTCATGAACTGAATGGTCATGAAGACACATTTGCTAGGGTTCAGTTTCGTGCTATTGTCTTTGGTCCATTTCTCAAGATCATTTACCACTTCTTGGATTTTAGGTTGATCCGTTGCCTTCCTACATTCAAGCAGGGAGAGGTCGTCGACGTATTTCCAACATTGAACATCACTGTCCTTAAACACGTCGTTGATAATGCAGAGAAAGATAAGCGGCCCAAGTCGAGTGCCCTGTGGCGCACCTGCCGAGATCTCCATCCAGTCAGAGAGCTGTGACATGTAGCGCACACATTGTTCTCGATTGGAAAGGAAGCTGGAAATCCATGTCACCAAAGACGGGGATGCCCCCATTTCGAGTAGTTTCCTAATCGCTAGTCCATGATCTATTCTGTCGAAAGCTTTTGGTTGGTGGCATTGTTGCCCCCAGCCTGAACTCGGTTGACTTCACAATCTGCTGCAGTCGATCTTGATCTGGTTATGCACATACTATAACTGGATTATTGTGCACCATCTTTGGGGTGTTGCCAATTTGAGATATGTTTTCCAAATCATTAGGAGTAGTCACAACAATGTAATTGTTTGGCCAATTATCAAACGATAATTATGTGTCTTTTGTATTGGTTTTTTTCCCTATTTATTACCTTGAATATATGTTTGTTTACTTTTTGCTTGTGGAGGAGAAAATATGGAGACAAAATCCACATTTACCTTTTGACTTTTATAGTCTGTAAATAGGCCTACATTAAAAACAGCAAACATTACATTCCTTTTTTTATATAAACATTGAGACTAAAATTAAAACTAAAATACTATTGATGAGAGCATGATCTCTTTAAAAGTACTCTGTCCCATTTGCAGGCCCCATAAATGAAAAGGTTAAATTCCAATGACATTTGAAAGACAATGCTAATTTAGAACTTCCCTCAAAACAGAAGGGCTTGAAAATGGCTTTTAGTGGGAAAATAACGACCGTTAGTTGTCGAATCGACATAATTGATCGCAAATCACCTAAGTAATTTGACTTTCAATTTGACTAGTAGTTTGACTTTCAGACCCTTTTACCTAGTAGTTGCGCGTTTTGTGCTGCACAAAGATTCAATCAGTTTAATGTTGGCCATCACCAGTAGTGGGTTATTGATATAGGCAAATACTCATGCACCTGTTACAGCTCATTTTATGTATATGTTATTACCAAAGAAAAAAAATCATTCAGTCACTCAATAGTGTCTGACAGTGAAGTCTAGAAGGTAAAAGGGGTTTCCTTGCATAATTTGAATACGAGGACACTAGTACTGCTAATGTTTAAATTTCACAGATAGGACGTACATGACATATTCATAATTCCTGCAAAGTTCAATAGAATTTGATGTTGGCTGCAAAAGGGACATAGTATATGTAAAGACAAGAGAGGATAAATGCCTCGGGGTACCATTTGAATAACTTACACAACATATTAACAAGTCAAATAAAAAGAGGGCTAAAAATATAACTTGAACGTAACCATGGAAACTTGCAGAACCAAAAATAATCCACCGGGGTGACATCCTGTGTTTCGGTATACCTGGTTTTTAAACAAAACAACATTTCCTGTCTCCTTCCTATCAATTCATAATCACTGCAAGAAGGAATAGCGAAGGTCAATCTCGAAATGTTACAACACAAAGCCATGTCAACATAAATTATTAGTTTTAAAGTTAGTGTTGCTGCATACAAACAAAGATGGTTGTGTGACTTCGTGAAGAGTTCTAAATGTATTATTCGCTCTAGCTTTGCCAAAGCCACGAATGTGCATTACTAGAAAATATTGCTAGTAGTATATGTCAGAGAGTGAAAATAAATTAAATTTTAACGCTTGTTCTGTCCGATGCCGAAATATTATCATCTAAGTTCGGGATACCAGTAGGAAAGCCGTGCCATAGATGTGGATCTGACAAATCAAATTGGTACTCTTGGATGAATGTGGTCGTTTTTATATGATTGGATAATTACAGGTTACTACGTCATAGTCTCTACTTAAACAACATGCGAAGTTTGGTTGTTGGTTGTATTTGTGTGTTCACGTTTGTAGCTATTTCACGAAGCGCAGGTAGGAATCAATATTTATGTCTAATTGATTGACTGATTTTTATTCGCTAAGCTTCCAACATACAACAATATAGAGTACCGAAGCTGTGACGTCATACAAATCTATTTTTAGAATTTCTCTATTCTTTCTTCATTTTCGGAAAGAGCATCAAGTTAGGAGCCAGAGCAAATAACACTGAGTTGCTATGGGAAATCTTTTTATTTAGATGGTCATATCTCAGCCAATTACATATTCAATTACTTTTCGACATTTGGACATTATTGTTGATGCTCTTTCAGAAAATGAAGAAAAAATTGAGAAATTCTAAAAATAGATTTTTGATGACGTCACACTTCACCACTCAAGAATATACAAGAATAACAGATCAAAATTAAGTCATCTTAAACAGGATAACCCACGAAAGCTCAAGAGCTTATTTACAGTGAATAAATAAATATCACGGGATCGATAGTAAATACAAGTTTTATGATATTCCTTCGTTTGCCCCCTCTCTTAATTTTGAAAATGTACAAATATTCTCTATTTCTTGTTGTATGCAATTTCTCAAATGTTGTACGTCCAACAATTTTGGCTGACCATGTCTTATCCAAGATATATCAGTTACAATGAGTGAAAAAATAGATGAATTAGTGAATAACTAATACCTTGATATTAATTACCCAAATTGGCTTTTTCAAATAAATTTCTTATGACCTTCAATCTCTTTTGTATTAAGCATATTCATCTTTGGCTTGATGATGGTAATGATTATTTGGAATGATGACGATTGCTGAAATGAAAGTAGATTTAACGCTTAATTTGTTTTTGTACATTTAAAAAGGTTATAGCAGGGCACATCCAAATGGAATTCGACTAGTGGGTGGAAACGATCAATATGAAGGACGAGTTGAGATCTTCTACCTCGGTGTATGGTCAACTGTGTGTGACGATTACTTCTATGCCGAGGCAGCTAACGTACTGTGTAGGATGCTGGGTTTCACCTCGGCCACTAGTTCTTACTGCTGCTCTAAATTCGGACAGGGATCTGGGGAAACTATATTTAGTAATGTCTACTGCGAAGGACACGAAACTAATATCTCGGAATGCAGATATAGTTTTTATTCTGCGGCGGTAGTTTCCTCTTCCGATTCGAAGTACTCATGTGATCATTCGGAAGATGTTGCTTTAGTATGCGATCCCGGTGAGTAGGGCGTGTTTTTTAAATCAAGTTTTATCACATCTTCGTTTTATTAACATCCCGTTCCGATTGATTATGCTCTCGGGCAAATGCCATATCTAGACTTGAGTGATCTCTGATTAAACAAAAAACAGGCCATTTCTTTTTTCAACATATTTTCCCTTCCGTAGGGTTTTATTATTATTATGTAAACAAAGAACAAATTTATAAATGATTGAGTATGATGTTTGTAATACAAATTAAATCTGATCACGACACATGAAATGATGAACAAATATAGCAAAATATATATTTATCAAATTTCAATTGTACATATATTACAAAAATACTCAAATACTTGGTAAACAGAAACTTTTTTTCAGGAATTTTTTTTCTTTTTAATTTGTTCGTGCAATATATATTTCCATATCATAATTCGATTCGATTGTCACCATATACGATTGCCTTGGCTTTTATTTCATCAAAATCTATAGGGCTAGGGTCATTGTTAAAAAAAAAGGTTAGGTTTAGGGTTAGGGGTAAAACATTTTATTTGTCCAGGTTCACGGTGATATAGTGTAGTACATTGCCTAGGGAGCATCTGTCGCCCGAGCCTGCGTCGTAAAAACCTTGATTTAACTATCTTTTTAAACACTGGTTTCACGACGCATGTGCTTTTCTTGTATATGCAATAATTAGATAATCGTTATTTGTGTCTCTTCTTTGTCATGCATCACGTTCGCATTCCTCCTTCTTTTTGCAGGTAACGTTGAAAGCAACTCGTTTGACATTCGACTCGTAGGTGGAGAAACTCCATTTGATGGCAGGGTGGAGATTTACCACGAAGGCTCCTGGGCAACTGTCTGTGACGAACGTATACGCACCCAAGAGGCAAACGTCCTGTGTAGGATGCTCGGGCACATCTCGGCCAGTAGCTATCACTGCTGCGCGGAATTCGGTAGAGGGGTTGGCGATAACGTGATGAGGGATATACAATGTGAAGGGAGCGAGTTTAATATTACGGAGTGCGAGTTTAGTCATCTTCCACACCAACCCGGCTACTCTTCATCTGATTTTACGGGCGAGTACTGCGACCATTCGGATGATCTAGGACTAGTATGCATACCAGGTAAATAAAGTTAGTCCATGTAAAACAAGAAAATGGAAGAGAGGCAAAGGGTCCATACTGGGGGAAACCCCTGTTTTTACAACGACACTTTGAAGAGGCAGTTAAAATTAATTCCAGCCGTTCTTAGGAAAGCCTCATATAGAGCCTCACAGAAATGACGTTCTATAGCATCAAATATGGCAGAAACAGAGCGCCGTCAAGCTGTTGAGAGCGATGTCGAGAATTTCACAGCAATTTGCTCTCATGAATACAATGTATGTGGCTTCCGCAGAGCCAGTTCAGAAAACATTGGATGGCTATCGTTATCGACACGATGGACTGCCATCAATGTAAAGAGAGAAAAGGCGAGAATTGTATTGTTTATTCAAGGTTTTGTATAAAAAGACTAACTTTCCGACGCAAAAAAAAAACAACCAAATTTATATTTAGCGATTAATTTTTCATCAAAATGCAGGTGAAGTACGAATCCGGAACGGTTCAAAACGCCTCGGTCACCAGAAGGGCAGAGTAGAACTGTTGCAAGGACACAAATGGAAAGCTTTCTGCACCGAATCCATGGACCTCAATCTCGCCATCGTCCTATGCCGGATGCTTGGAGAACATACCGCTAAGTCCTACTATGATATGGAGTTGTTGGACAATGAAGAGGGCGCTGTTCTTAACGTCACCTACGTGTGTCAGGGCAACGAAGACAGTGTAGCCGATTGTGAGGAGCAGAGTAGAGCGGCTGTCAATTGCAGTAGGGACCAACGGATAGCAGGGATTACGTGCACCAGTCGTAAGTTAAAAATTTCCCTTTTCCCTTCAACCTTTCCGCACCACACTTTAATATCCAAAGACTCGAGAATTAAAATCCCTCCAGAATATACCCCTGGGTCCCGGTCATATCAAGAGTTCCGATTGGTCCAAATCAATCGCAATTCCTTCAATCAATCGCACGTTTGCAGTCCCCTGTCTCTTATGTTGCGATAGTTGCTATTGATATCAACTCTTTGTAAGACGGAGCCCTGGTTAGAAATGTAAAATGGACTTCGTAAAGCGAGACGTGGAAGTATGACGTCGCATGATGTTTGCAATAACACGAAGCATCTGAAAAGAAAAAAAAAAGATATCACAATGTGACAGGAGGTTGTAAATGAGACTGTCTTTATATGCGAAATTTGGTTCCAACATAAAATACAAAACTGAGAAAGTTCTGAGTTCTTAGAAAAAACAATAATGTTTGATGATCCTTATTCGTAACGTCAAATTCTAACGAAACGTGGTCTAGTTGTAATGTCGCCTTATGGGGTAATAAACTCACTATCTAAACATCCGAGTATAAAAGTTTCTTGTGATGTATTAAAATTAAAAAGCTGCGACTACAGCCGTTGGAAATAACATCTTGGTTCACCAAATATAGCCCGTAACCAGTGCAGGAAAGTGCCTTCTATTGTGTAACCCTCTGGTTTGTTGTACCCCATCATTTTGTCAAATATTTCAACTATAATCTTTTAAAACCATAGTCCCAGTCCGTCTTGTCTCTAAGAAGGACAACGAAGGAAGAGTCGAGGTCTACCATGGGAGATCATGGTCAGCGATCTGCTATACCTCGTGGAACATACAAGCCGCCGACGTTGTCTGCCGAATGTTGGGCTACACTGGCGCCTCTGCGGCTTTCCGTGACGAGGAATTACTTGAAGCGCCCTCTGCGAGCATCCTGTATGAGAGCATCGAGTGTAACGGAACGGAAAGAAACGTTGCCCATTGCAACATGTCGGAGTCTCGGCGGGGAAGGTGTGACCTCGATGGATACGCAGCTGCTAGGTGTGCCGGAGAGGGTAATGGAGTTTGAGTTTGAGTTTGAGTTTATTAACAACAAAAATAATAACAAGTAAAACAAACATAAAGTATCAAGGATGATTACATAAAATATAACAATATAACACAAGATCGATAACATTATGATTATCATCTTCATCATATTATAGCTATATAATAGTGCAGGGTAAATGGAGCCCTTTCACATAAAAAAGAAAGATATGCTAAACAATTAGAAAACGAGGTAACAAATATAGGGTAAAATTACGTATGTTTCTCTTATCGTATTATATCAAAATAAGTATTTTAGTTACCTTTGTAGGCCAACACGTGTAAAGTGCCTCTAGGGTATTGGGACAGCTGAAAATTCAAATTCCAGATTCATTTTCTCCAGCAATTGATATTTATTTTTTCGACTTTATTTCGTAAAATATTGTCGACGAACTTCCCGCTTATTAGAGATAACGCGAATTTGTTTGTTTACCTTTTAAGCCTACATTTATAAGCAATATACCCGTATTCTGCAAGAGATATATCACTGATAAGAAATTGATAGATTCATATTTTGCCCTAGTTGAGGTACCCGTGCGACTGTTTGGAGGAGCTGACTTTCATTCGGGAAGGGTCGAACTATTCTACTACGGCTCCTGGGGCACTGTGTGTGCTGCAGACGACCTCAGCACGACCTCCACGCCGCACTACGCCATGAACATCGCAAACGTGATATGCCGGATGCTCGGGTTCCCGAGGGCGCTGTCTTACGAGTGCTGCGGCCACTACGGACAAGGTCTCGGAGGCATCTTTCTTGATACTCTCAAATGCACTGGCAAGGAAGCCAACATCCTCGAATGCCCGCGGAGCGATCAAGGATTGCACAGGCGATGCCGTCATTTAATGGACCTTGGAGTAACTTGCCAGGAAAACGGTTTGTCTTCTCTGAAAATGCTATTACCGTAAAATTGTCTTTTGCCAGTGCAAGATAATGAGATTAGACTGTATTAAACCTACTAGGACTACAACTATATAATATTAACTGGCCTTGAAGAAGATACCAGGATACTCTATCACCCTCTTACAAAAACATATTGACCGAGTCGAAGACGAGGTCAATATGATTTCAGTAAGGGCACTATATCATTGTATCTCCCGAAAGATGAGCCAGTGAATATTTGAATTCCGTTGTAATCAAGAAAGGGTACATGCTGCTTGGAAGGTCCCGGATGTTAAATGGGACCAAGACGTATTGGGCTGAATATTGATCGCAATTTGTGTGGACAAATTCAACGGCGAAACCCGGAAGAGTGAAAATATCAGGAAATATTGCTCGCTTGAAACTGCTTGTTTGCGGACCGGGAAAAATATGCATTTTAATTCAAAGGTAAAATTACCCCTTACAAGTAATAGGGAATAAAAATAGATTGACACCTTCAAGGTCCGATTCGCAAAGTTGGTATTTCTTATTCTTATCTACTGTCATTTTGCTCTTTTCCTGCTTGTCATCTCTGCCAAAACACACCTTGAATTTCAACCAAATTTTGTGAAGTTTAGACTCAAAAGTTGAAAAGTACCGCATTGCTACTTATCATAACAGGGCCACATGTTTACAGGGAGGCAAATCCAATATTCTTTTCTCATAGGAAGGCAAACGAAAAGGGGGGTTGATACATGAAACGAATTCATAATGGCTACTACATTTTCAGGTTCCTTCTGAGAAAATAAATAAAGGGGACACCTTTTTTTTTGGGGGGGGGGGGAAGGGGATAGTAAAATGTCACTGGGGTGTGACCGTGGATACTGACGGGTTTTGCTCCACCTACCCCTCCCCCCCCCCCGCCATTCCATATTTATGTAAATTTGCCTTTTCACCCTCTTTTTTTATTTTCTTTAAATTCAACAGTTGATTATCAAATCCGCCTGGTAGGGGGCGCATCAAAACTGGAGGGGCGAGTCGAAGTGAAGTCGGACAGCTCCTGGGGTACAATCTGCGATGACAACTGGGACTTGACAGACTCCGACGTGGTCTGCAGGATGCTCGGGTACGAGCGGGCAGAGAGCTACTTCTCCTGCGAGAAATACGAGAAGGTGTCCAAGCGGAAGCAGATCATTCTGGACGAAGTTGAATGCGATGGAACCGAGGTGAACATCGGGCATTGTCGGGTCCAGCATTACCACGACTGTACGCATGATGAGGATGTCGGTGTAAAGTGTGTCGATTGGACAACAGGCACCTCTTCAACACGGAGCTCTTCTACGAAAGCAGCTAGTAAAGCAAACTTAGATTATACCTGGGCCCCGTTGCACAAAACTTACCATTAGTTGATGTTAGCTTTGCCATCAATGGTAACTACCATGGAAACCTTGGTTTTGATTGGCTGTTGAGTCCTGTTACCGTGGTATTTTCTATTTAAGGCAACGTTACCACCAATGGAAAGTTTTATGCAACGGGGCTATGATTCACTCATATTCAACAAGGCAGTCATCAGATTTGTATGTGGTCACTCCGCACACTACATTAGCCCAGAAATCAATCAGACATAGGGATCCAGATGTACGGAATTCTCCACCTAACAATACTCGCAATATAAACTCCTTTAAAAGAGCACTCAAATGTATTATCATTTCACAGACAGAAGATATTACTTACATGATATATCTAACCATACATATCAGTTCTCATTATATCGAACACAAGTTTAAGTCTTTTACGATCTATGAGACATTTTACTAGACTTAACAATGTACTTCTTTTTTCTTTCTTTTTTTCCCTCTTTTTTTTCTTTGTAAATAGTGTAAATAACTCATAACCCTTTTGGAATTTTATTTGTCATATATCATACCATAAATCATATATGTGAAAGGTGTTGTAACGATTTAAGCTCTATGCTTATGTTTCATCACCTTTGTCTGTACATTCTTTAAACTGTATTATAGGTGCAACTTGTCTTTGATAAAACATTGTTATATTCTTTTTCATATGAAGTCAATTCAAATGGATTGTAGAATTGAAAAGGATTAGTTATTTCACTGATGTGATGTGAGCTCCAATGAATTGTGAAATTTTGAACACACATGCATAAATAAATAAATAAATACATTTATTAGACTGACGTAGATCCATCACTTCAGAGAAAGGCTGTTAGCGGCGCTGATTTATTATGAATTAAATTGTCTTTTTATTCATTCATTTATTTAATTTTTTTGATTTCCTTTAATTTATCAATTTATCTTTGTGATCTCTTTCTAAAGTTACATAAAAATTACAACATTATCATGATAGTAAACAAATAATATAATTAATACCTCAAACAATACTCAGTTTAGAAAAATGTAATTATACAAGATGAAATGATTCAGCAAGATTTTATTGTTGAAATTTAAGAAAACACGAACATTTGCCACACTCAACCCAAGTGATGTAAATGGGTACCTGGCAGGAATTAATTCCTTGAAATGCTAGAGCGCCGTATGACAGACATGAGCGCTATACAAGCATCCACTATTATTATTATAATTACTATTTATAAGTATTAAAGGAATCAATTGGTTATAATTTTAATGATCTCGTAATTGTAATTACACAGACGTCACCGGAAATTTGGCGAGCTACAACGAAGCAACCACCAAAAATCCATCGGGATTGCCAGCTCGTAAAACATTCGGTAAGTGTTTCTATTTTGCACGACTAGTACTTGTACTTGTAGTACTAGTAGTAGTACTTTTATTATTATTCGTAGTAGTAAAAATAGCAGTAGTATTAATATTAGTAGTAGTAAGTAATAGTAGTAGTAGTAAGTAATAGTAGTAGTAGTAGTAGTATTTGTAGTTTTGGTTGTGCCTGTTGATGTAGCGATTATAATAGTAATTATGATAGTAGTACGTGTATCTATATAGTATATATACACTGTTAGTTGCAGAAGTAGTAGTTATAGCAGCAACAACAACATTGGTTCTGGTGGTGGTGGTAGTTATTAAACTCAGTACTTATCAAAGCATTAGTAGATGTTTAATGGAGTAATTTTATGTCATTTCTTTGTTTCTATTTTGTGTATAGCCTTGGTTATATCTCAGGTGGTGTACATTCTAGTGGCTCTTATTGTTATTGTCTTATTGACAATAAGGATGCAGCTGTATAGGTACAGTATGCAGTTATTTCACAATGCACATTTTAATGTTATAAACGTTAAATGTACTAAAGCGAAAAGTTAGTATAATTTAGTCCTAGAAACGAAAAAAGAGAAAATTGTTTTCCATTTTTGGCAAATAATTCAGGCCTACCAGAAACACTTGTTTTGAAAGATATATTTCAGTTCAAATTTGATAAGATAAGAGACAATAATGTCAAACAATATAATTTCAAATTCATTCATAGGATATTGCCTTCTAAAGATAATCTCTTAAGTTACATAGAAAACCGTAAGTACAGTACAGTCTAACGAATGTGAAATTTTTTTGTGAAAAAGAAATTATTGAGCATTTTATATTTCGTTGAAAGAACTTAAAGAGTTTTCTGGAAAGATATCTCAAGACTTGTATATTTCATTTTTAAAATAGAAATTGAAATCGATATGAACATTTTATTAATTGGATATAAAATGAATAACAGAAAATTTACTTCACTTAAGTTCTTGATAAATTATGCACAACTTGTATAAATATACACAAATTACGTAAAGCGGAACTTTGGGGACGTACCAACCAATCAAAAGAGGTTTATAAGTTATTTTATTTCACCATTGAAATTGTAAATATATTTTTTTTAAATTGTTATCATCATTGTCATGACTATTATTATTATTTTTTATTTTTCATATCATTATTATATTTCATATGGGGTTTTCCATCATTATCAATGTATTAATATCAATTTCATTGTTACTACCAGTGATATTAATGACATCAGTATCATCATTTTTATCTCCATTATCATGTGATTATCATTATCTTAATCATTAACCTTATTATTGTTCTATAATCGTCATCATTGTTGTTATCATTATTACTAAAAGGTTTGTGAAGGGATCCTTGTACATTTTTCAACAATATATACTTGATTTACTATATTATACAGGCGAAGAGCAGTAGAATCGAACGTCACGGAGATTCCTTTAACAGGGACTGAAAAATGAGCTTTGTTCTTATGGGCCTAGCTATTGCAGAAAATGAGCTGCAGCCTTTTAGACCCCGCTCTCACTAGGGCGTTTTAGCAACGAGACGGAAGACAAAGACGACGGGAGAAATCACTCAACCGAGATCGTCCTGTTCTATGCTCCCGTCTTCATCTGTAACCTGTATACTTATTCTTAAAGACTCGAAGTCTTGCGTTCTATCAGGGAATTTTGACACCATTCGGTTATTTACTCGATGTCAGGTGTATGCCAGTAAATGAGAGAGGTCATCACATATTCATGAGAAACAGGTCTTATATAAAATATTGGTGACATTGCATATCAACTTAATTTTTGGGATAACGTGACTCTGTGAAACGTGGCAAAATGAATATAATCACAGCATTTCACTCTGTCTCTACTAATATTATATGTATTAAAATATTCGTTTTGAATTTCTTGTGATAATCCTGATTATTGTGTGACCATTATATTTTGTTTGAATATTTGTCTAATATTTGGGGATGTGGAATTTGTCGAATTTTAATGTTAATAAAGAACCATGTGGGACAGAGGGTAAAAAAAACTATATCTGGAAGAAAGGAGGTCCTTTTTCTTGTGACTGATAGAATTCGATTGTAAATAAAATATGTTACATTTAAATATCCCCCCTGAAATGTATTGCACCTGTACATATTCACTCATAATTTCTTTCGCTTTCTGGATTTTTGTTTTATATGATGTATGTATTTAAATTGTTATATTCTTATATTGGTGGCCTTTATTTTGTAACTGTAATAGTTTTATACTGATCATTTATCGATATTTTGTATTATTTTTGTTAATACCTATCAATAAATAAGGATCTGAATCTTAATCATTCACGCCCGTCATTTTTGTTTTATGTATTCTTTTTTTAAATACTGATTTAAATTTACATGTATTTGCCGAATAGGGATTTCTGTATGGCCTTTTTGAACAAAAAGTGTTACATATGGACTGTTGGTCATAATGGTGGAATAATTATTTTTACCCCAATTTATGGAATGATTTTGACAATGATTTACTCCTAATAGATCTAGATAATATTATACATTCTCAGATTTTATTGAATAATAAATTATACGGCTCCCTCACTGGCCCCTCAAGAGCCCCGGGGATATGCACAACACCGGGTGTCTGCCGTCCAGGGGCCATTTGAAATGAATATTGCCCGTGCGGGCCCCTCACGGCGGCATCTCAAAATGTACAACGCAGCTTTAAGGACAGGAGGTGCGAATGTCAGAGGATACATAGTTCAGTGCCCCGCACGGCACCCGCCCGGGCGCCTTGAGGACCCCGGCCTGTCAGATTATTATTATTATTATTATTCGTCAGCACTTCTTACCACAAATTTGGACAAATTATCATACAAATTTAGACCCCGATTGGCCGCCGTTTTTATACACCGTATGTCCCCTAGTTGATTAGCATTGTAGCATACACATGCTTTAGCAGTCACGCCAAACAAACACTCACAAATTATTATTCAATAAAATCTGAGAACGTATACTATTATCTAGATCTATTAGGAATAAATCATTGTCAAAATCATTCCATAAATTGGGGTAAAAAAATTATTCCACCATTATGGCCAACAGTGTATAATAACAATAATTATAATGATTATTATAATAATATCAATAATAATGATAATACCAATAGTATTAATGAATTGATAGATTAAACTTATCACTATTAATGATATCAAAGTCACACGTATAATTGGCTTAATCCTATATAGGGAATGTTTAAAGTTCCACCGTTGACGTGGCCCTATAGTCAATCTGCCCAAAGGCGCTGGAAGGTACCCACTTACTACACTTTAGTGGAATGTAATCAAAGGCAGATTAATGTCTTGACCATGGACACTAGCGTCGCGACTGGGACTCGACCCGCAAACCATGAGACTCACGGTCCACAAAAATATCCACTGCTAGAAGACCAAGACACCTTGTTTTGTTATCATTATTATAATTTCATGTAAGTTTCTCTTTATTTATCAATCTGTGTTCGTTTCTCAAGGGTTAAAAGGAAATACCGCAAATACAGTTGTTACAAGTATGTGTAACATCACTTGTTTTATTACGTAATAGTAGTGATCTTAAAAGTTATGCAATGCATTTATATGTAGGTATGCTCAAATTTGTTAATGGTTGATTTTTAAAAGCACATTCATTTACATTAACGAAGATCCTTGAGAGACAGTAATTAAGAGCAGTGAGAATAAGAGCGACAAACAATGAAATCATCTTCCCTCGTAATTAAGTACACGAAGGTATGGTCAACAAAGGCCCCTTCCCAAATAGATTCAAGCTGAAAACCACTTAGGCCTTATTTGTAATCAACACTAGAGTGGCGAAAAAGAAAAAGGCCACTAATTGTCTTTTGGGGGCATCCATTCTGAAATGAATGCTTTCCATAGTTGTGGATTGATGCATTTGTACCGACCGAGAAATGTTTGTTGTAATGATACTTTATTTCCTCGATCGCCAACAAAATTAGAACAGTGAATGGATGTTTTGTGAAACAGCTCCTACTTACTTAGATATTTCAACGTGCTGGAATTAAAATTTGTTTGTGTGGTGTTATTAATACCATGAATGCAACGCCAAGTAATTATGATCATCAATTTTTCTAAATCGCCATTATCATTTTCTATAAAGAAAGGCTGTATTTTATCAAGTCTAAGCAACGCACATCCTTTGTAAACATTCGAAGAGCAGTCTTGACATCGATAGAGGACTTAGCTGATTCAATGACTTCCAATATTCATTGAATATTTTGGGAGACGATTCCTACTAATTCATTCAGCGTACTGGAAATCGAATTTGTTTGTTTGGTGTAGGCGTCAAAAGGACCAAGAGAGCAACGCGAAGTAATTCAAACTTTTTATCTAATTGTCTTGACTCTTGAATCGTGTGGGTGACAGCTCTTACAAAATCCTTTCAACACACTGAATTCGAAATTTGTCGGTGACCAAGAGAGCAACGCGAAGAACTTCAAACTGTGTATCTAATTGTCTTGAATATTGTGGGAGACAGCTCTTACAGAATCCTTTCAACAAACTTAATTCGAATTTTGTCGGTGTGAACTTGATATCAAAAGGATCATGAATGAAACTCCAAATAATTCAAATTTGTCATTTAACTCCTCTATTCTGGATGAATATGATCAAAGAGTTCCTCTATTTTTCGCAGCATTGGGTTATAGCTATGTCATATTAAACATTCTCTCCTGTCTCGGGTCTACGTTGACTATGACTTGCATCCTGTTCAATAAGAAACTGAGAAAACCGACCAACATTATACCCTTCAACATCATTCTTTGTGATTTCATCTCGGTTCTTACACATTGCGTTCTTTACCTTGTAAGTCTAATAATAGTAATAACATTTCCCAAAGAATTTTTTCTATTTTATCAAACAAATATTATAAACAATTGCATAATAATCTATGAGTTAATGATATGATATAACGACCAATATGAGGCACTCTCGCAATACTTGAGTTTCATTACAAGCATTCATCAAATTTAAGTAATGTTGATCTTTATATACTTTGTTACGCAATGACATGGAAGGTCAATTTTGGTCATTCCGTAACAAAGCTATCTAAAATATAATACTTTATCAATTTAATGAATAATAATAATAATAATAATAATAATAATTAGATTTGTCAATTTAATGAATGGCTGGTAGGAAAAATAAAAGTGAAAGTACGTCATATTAGTTCATTTATTTTATCAATACTTGGTACATTTTTATTAAACTGTCTGTAAAAAGATAAAATCAGAATTTGACGTTGGCCGACGTCGGGAAATGACGCTGGGCCAACATTGGACTGGTGGACATTTTAAAGAAAAGGTTGAGTTCTGGGAAGAGGTGAAAAATAATGTGTGAGCGTTATCATTCTTATTATGCAAGTGTGGAAGAACATCAGATATGAAGACATGTTCCCTGAAAAGCATGGCTCTTCAAATGCCTTTATATTTTAAATATGTCATGTAACTCGTAAAACTCGGGGGGTAGATTTTTACGCCACGTGTTCGTGTAGTCCCATATACATCTTTCTGTGTACAGTGTTTGTAACTTTACCAAGACTTGGCCAAATTTCTTATCATTTTGGTGATTCCAGAACCTTGCAATACACACAAATTCTTATATGCTAGATGATCAACCTTTTCTGGTCGATTTCACACCGTTTCTTTCCCAATGCAATCGCATGACCAGAACTCAACTTCATCTTTAACATCGGGCCGAATCAGAATTTGATGTTGACTCAACGTCAAAAAGTTTATGTTGAACCAACGTGAGAATTTGATGTTGGCATAACCGTAATTTGGGAAATAACTTCGGGCCAACATAGGGCTGGCGGTCATTTTAACATCGGGCTAATGCCAACGCCTCATGGTACATTGGCCCAACGTTAGGCTGATGTCGTATTGCTAACTGGTATAGTCTATTTCAGTGAGCCAAATTGGGGCATCCGGAATTAAACCAAGTTTCTTCACCACACATCATGCCATTGTCAATATGCAGTATCTAATCGGAGGATTGATTCTAGGCCGGAGTTCTGACCATGACAAATATAGACCTCCGTTTCACCTTTGAGACCAGCAGACTTCAACCATTTACAATCATTTTATTGTGCTTTTTTTTTTGTCCAGAAACTGCCGATGTGGTTGTTTTTCATGACGGCAGTGTGTTTCGCCGGTAGTTTTTTCAGTTCTTTTTCGGAAGAACATTTCAATCATTATTTTTCACCATCACCATACGTTAAATAACTAGTTTTAGCTGATGTTTTGCCAGAATCCTTAAGGCTTGTGCACTGGAAATGTAGATAGCCTGGTTTTTGTCATGGTCATAAGACATACGTGTCAGTATAGGAGGGTTAGATTGTGTGGGATAGATTGATGTATACTGTCATCTCAACCTGCTGCATAAAATTAATGCTTTTTAGCAGCCTTCATGCCAGGGCCTGCAGAACGGCAGGGTTCGGGGGCTCGATCAAGCCCCTCACTTGTTTAAAAAAGTATGTTAAAGAGAATCAGAAAGAAAGAGAGAAAGAAATGAAGTATCAAAATATGCTCGCATCTGACGTAATTAAATGCCTAATCCCCCTGAGCTTACGGGCGTTCCGCCCCCTGGACCACACCAGGGACCCTAAGGCGGGCCCCTGGATGCTCATCTGACCGTAATTAAATACCCCAAACCCCTGGGCTTCCGGTGGCTCTGCCCATGGACCCCACCAAGGCTCTAAGG